TGCTGTGTTCATCCAGCTCTACACCTTGTTATCTCAGATTCTCCAGCATCTGCAGTTCCTACTATCTCTGTAGAATTTTAAACTGTCTGTTACATTACCTTAACTACCATTTACAGAGCATATGAATTCATGGCTAGAGTCAGAGATTTTTGGGTTCAAGATGAAAAGTTTAGGGGATAATTGCAGGGAAAAATTTTCACACAAAAGGTGGTGGTGCCTGGAATGCACTGCTAGTGGAGATGGTGGAATCAGGACATAGTAACGTTTAAGGTGTATCTTGGTAGACACATAAATGTGAAGCGAACACAGGGATAGATACCATGCGTGGTCAATAGTAAATAAGGATTAGGAATTGGTGCAGGCTTGGTGGGCCATAGCACCTGTCCTTGTGCAGTATTGTATTATATTGTATTGTATTTTTTTTTGTTTTTATGTCATATTTCCAGCATATGCAATTCTTCCTTATCATACAACTTCAACTGTTACATTCCACAAACAGTTTTAAGCAGAAATGTGGCTTACGCCAGTTCTATAATTCTCTCAATTAACTGTGCTCATCCATTCCTAACTCTGTACTGCATTAATCACTCCACTCAGGCAATCACTTGTCTTTAGCTGCTGAGATCCTAAACTTTGGTAATTCTTTCCAACACCTTACTTCTTCTTTATCTCTACTTTTTCCTTTGAATCACTCTTAAACCCCTTTGACTAAGTCATCTTCCCTAGTAGCTCCTTTGTGATGGAGTCAAAATTTGTTTGACAACAGTCTTCCTATGTTAAGTGCCCTCCAATGTTAACAACACTATATAAATGCAGATTGTTGCTGATGATGACTGGTAGTTACATTTTCACATAATTATAAATCTATTTCCTTTAAATACAAGTTTTCTAATAATATAAATATAATGAACACCATTCACAATAAGACAATAATCTAATTAGAGATTCAGAAGGCAATACACTTAAAAAGTAGCTTTGGTAATTTTTAATATTTATATGAATTTTGAAACTAGGTTGCAACCTTATAATGTCTCTATTGTGACATAAATGACCATGTGGCTAACCTAGATTAATATCAATGCAAGTATTGAAAGATTAATAATTGTGAAGCCATCACAATTTTTTTATATTTCTATTAACTTAATCACCCAAATGCAACAGTTACTAAGAAATTAATGAGCAAACTGTTCCCTACAGAGTTTAATTGAGCAATAGAATGAGGAAAAACTGTTGAACAAGCTAGAATAGTGATTCACTTTGCTATTAGTGTACTGTTGTTCTGACATTTTAGAATGTTGAGTAACTGCACAATAGATACAAATAGAGCAATACTTTAAATTAAGTTTTAAAATAACTTTGTATCTCATTAAAGTCAGGTACAGGAAATGCTGGAAAATTAAACCATTTCTCAATCTGCATCCAGTATTTCATTTCAGTCTTTCTAGATCTGCATCTGAGCTAGAGCCCTGTACTTCACTCTATTCCCTTGTACCTAACCTCAGATAGTGGCCATACTAGGAAAGTTAACATTCCTGTTATCTGAATTCCAATTCCAACTGAAGCTACTGACTGTAGCTATGAATTCATATACGCTGTAAATGGTAGTTAAAGTAATGTAACACACACTTTAAAATTCTACACAGCTGATTTTGTCAGAGTATTGCCTGCAATATCATGCAGGCTGTTTCGAACTGTTATGGAAGGAGAAAATGGCTCAAATGGGCATTCCAGCACCAGCAAGAAATATAACTTAGAGCCTCTTGGTACTTTTGGTCTATTTGCAATTGATATAAAAGAACCGGCACATCAGGAAATATTGTAAATAAAATAAAGGATCTTCAATATAAGAAACAATAATCCAAGTAAGGTTAGATTGATCAGTGTTAACTTACATCATATTTTTACAGCAGGAAACACGATTTAAAATTTTAACATAAAAATACAATTACACCCAAGGCTGATAGGTTCGAAAGAGACTTAAAGGACACTACATAGTTCACTCTAAATTTCACAGCAAATGAATTAAACTGGAAAAAATTTCAATGTAACATAATCTTAGTAAACCTGTTTTCTATTAAGTATTCTGATTTATACAACACAGTTTTGTTTGTTGGCTGAAATCATTCTTTTTACCCTAACTGATTATTGCATATATTGTGTACCAGCTCGAGCTCAGCTCTGAGCCATTTCTATCACTTGGTGGTTGGACTAAATGTGAAAAAAACACAAATAAACTGGAAAGGAGGATTTTGTTTTTAAAATGGGACTCAGGTGTACAAATATACTACAAAAGGAACAGGAGAACACAGAGTCAGAGGAATGAAGATTTTAGGGCAAAGGATGGAGGTATAGTAACAGAAGAATATAAATAGAGAGTAAGAGACAAAACCATGGCACTTTTAAACATAGAGAATAAGCATTTTAGTTGAGGTTTTGTGGGAGCAGAAGCCAAGGCAGGTCAGCATGGAGTGAGAATGCAAGACTTTGAGAATAGACATAGATGTATGAAGATGGAGAGTGGAGACTGAAGTAACAGAGTGTGGCCAGAACAAGATGTGGATGCAAAACATAAGAAATTCAATTCAAGGTTGTTCAAAACCAAATGTGAAAAAAAAAAATCAAACAGCAACAGACTGAAGGCTGAAATAGAGTCAAACGTCAACTGTAAAATTTGTCATTTCACTGGAAGACAGTGACAGGCTGCTTCAAAAATATTCAAATTAAGATAAAGCAAATTTACAAAGATCCAGAGGTTTAAAACAGCTATTCTGCACTATGCAAAGCAAATTGAGACTTGATTTCTACCCCATCTTGTGTCAAACCTCCTACAGATGGCCACTGTCTGCTGCGTTTGGAATTAGGTTGCTTTCTGATTGCTGATCTACACTGCCAGTTTATTGTTACAAAGTGAAATTATTTATGCTAATACTAAACCCACAATGTAAATGTACCCTCCAGCAAAGGTATAATTATTTGGGACAAACATCATCACATTCAACGAGAAATATAATTTGTCAGAACAATAATTTTTATTTTAACAAACTTCAGCTCAATTCAAAGTCTGTTCTCCAGAAATGACAGGAGTTCTACCACAACAAACTGGAGAATCGAAATGCCTCTGAAACCTGATAAGACATACTTCACAAAAAAAAGGGAAAAAAACCAAGATATGAAAACTGGGCTGCTCGTCACTAAAATCTACTCAGTTAGAAATTTTGTTTTACTTGTTCAGGATCAGATTTGGGCTTAGAAGATGGAAAGCTCCAGTTGTGAAATCTCCTGACTCAGCAGACCCGTCTCTATGGAAATAATCCTTGCATGCACTGTTTTTTTGCTCCAGAGGTGGGAGCATGATCGATTTGGGCCTGTTTCCCCTGGAGGAAGTTCAAAGGCAACTACAGAAGAGAGTGAGTGCTGAGGCTAGCTGGTTAGATAGGTGCTTCAGCCTAGTTTACAAATTTGTTAGGCCCTCTAGCCCTTACCCGTCCATTAACTCAATGCTCATTATGGGCACTATGGCCAGACCTCAGGAGCTTTGTGAAAATTAAACATTGCATGATCTAAGAGAAGTCTCGTTCAGATATATTTGATCTTGAAAAAAAACTCTCATTCATGAAACCCACTCGAAGATTTAAATTCTAGGTTGACAATTTGTTACGAAAACAAACTTTTGTTCAGTGGCATCAGAAACAGCTAATTGTTTAACAGCCTTGTAAAACTGTTGATCATCATGTGAACTCAGATCTCCTCCCTTTGCACTCTGCCCCTCCACTGAGAAAAGTGGTATTGGAGCTTTTGAAACTCAGCCAAGCATCCATAATCCTAGCCCTTGAAAAATATCACCAATTAATTCTATTGGAACTGTAGGACAGACGGTAATGTTTAATTCTAAGCTACACCAGATGACTTGTCACTGCACTCCAGTAGAATGTGTTTGTTTGCTTACTCTGACTGAAGGCTGCAGTATGATTGTTAAATTTAAGGGCTGAGGTTTTAAGTGACTTCAGGATCATGACAGTCAGACAGGTGTTATCTGCTCTTTTAACAGCATTTACATCTCCTTCAAAAATCTGAGATTCCAATTGATACAGTGAAAATACAATCTACTTGAACACCATACTGATTCCAAATGGCCCTACTGAGTTTGGGATCCAGTCTGTGTAAATTATACCCCACCCCTACACCAGTAAGTAAAAATAGCATGTGCTAGAAAGAGGGACAGGACTTCTGCATCCAAGTCATTTCTTCTATTTTTAAAGACAAGTGCAGTCAGGCTGACTCCATGAACGTCTAGCCCAATATGTTCATGGCCGATGCTGAAAACAGGTAGGCCTATGGACAGATTAAAATCGGGCCTTGGGACTCACTGTACTAAAATTGGAGTTCTATGATTACCAGCTACATGGACAAAGCCAGCTTGTAGACAAAATTAATTTGATTGTTGGAAGTTATAACATTGGTGCTGTCCTCAGATATGTCTGGAGGAGTCAGGGAGAATGGAAGATACAATGCTGTCAGCGGGAGCAGGGGAAGCTATGATGGCAGTGGCCCATGTGTGGGTTTGTACTGGGGTCTGATGTAGGGATCAGTAGCCAGAAGCATTTCAGAGGGGACTGAGCATGAGCCAGCAATGGTGCACAGTAACTCTAAGGAACATGGTTCCGGTCAAGAGTTTTTTTGGACTTAAAACATTAACTCTATTTTTCTCCACAGATGCTGTTAGATAGATATCCTCAAGAACTTTCTGTTTTTCTTCAGTTTCTTATCTATCATTATCCATAACCTGATCCAGTAAAGTTGCCATTAGCTGCTGAATTACACAGAGGTATAACCTGTGGTCTTACATGCGTCAGGAACACAGCAGGAGACAATAACTGAGACCCACTGCTGAATTGTTCCATAACCAAATGTGCTGGCATCAACAGTACATTCATGATCTACGAAACTACCTGCATGGCTGTCAGTCTTCATTTCTGTTGAAGCACTTTCCTCAGGGATTTTGATTGAATCATCCGATGACACCTTCCTCTTCGTATATTTTCTCTTCTGGACTTTCTGTTGTTCCTATGATAAAATGCAAGAACATAAATTATTGTTCTTTACATATGTAGATACACCCATTTGTTCATGTTCAAATCCATAGCAATTAGTCAATAATGTGTTCATGGTTTGAGAAATCCATTTTTAAACTTCTTGCAAGTGATAATTATGAAAATAAACACAATCATATTTACCAAAAGCACTATACAAACTTTCTCATTTATTTTTAAAACTTCAGCTGTGTGGTCTATTTGATTTTTTTTCACAAGTATATATACTACATAAAAGCACGTCCATGCAGTTATGTATTTTGTTAGTGAAAGCTTTGAAGGAACTCACCTGTTGAGACAACTTTGCAGCAGCTGCAGCTAATCCAGTTTCTATTGAGGCAACCCTTGCCCCTTCTCGTGTTGGCCTGTCATGCCGAGGAACAGATGGTGTAACTCTGGCTAAAGAAATACAAAAGAAAAATTAAAAAAATGAAGAAATATTAATTTGTAATTGCTGCATTCTGTGCATCAGAATATACCATTAAGTTGTTTATTATTTTAAATCCTTTAACTTGGATAATGACATAATGCCGAATCAAACGTATATTTCATTAAGTATCATTTTTGATTTGTTAGGCAGAAACTTCAGAAAACAGATAGTAAAGAACCAAACATTTTCTCGCTCATTTTAAACTGAACTGAACTGCTTTCATTAAAAAGACTGGGATTAAAGATAATATACAATTGTTGAACAATATACATCTATTACATGAGTTCTCTCAGGATGCCAATAAAACATATTTGATTTGGTATGTCAAAATATAGTTAAATATGTTCCATAGGTTACGCTGGTCATTTGAAATTTTGAAAATGAGAGAGGCAGACAACTCTTCAGAAAAGTAAAAGGGAGGAAGATATCTATAAAGGTACACTCCTGTAAATCTCCATATCAACATTTGTGTAGTGGTCAATTGTCAGCAATCAGTTTTGGCATGGATAATCCCTTAAAGTACATCCACAGCACAAAACATGTCGAGTCCTCACAGGAGAAATTTTTGTTTTTCATTCTTCCCTAAGTCCTTATTAAATATTAAGAGAAGGCAAATTAAAGGGAATTAATTTAATGGTAAGATCATGAAAAAAAATAGACTTTGTTTTCTTCTGAGTTTGTTCAATGACATAATCAGTAAATTATTTTTAAGCTGAGTGCAATTAATTATTAATGAAACATATCTTCTTCAAACCAGATCTGTACCAGTCATGTATAAGGTATGACAACTTTCACATAGAAATCAAAATTATGATTAATCATTATATCTTTTTATACCATAAATTGTGAAAGACTTTTGTCTATACTTTTATTTTGCATACATATTGATGTAGGCTGACACGAGGACTGGTACAGTAAGGAATCTGCCATGTGACCTTTCTCACACATTGCTTAAATTGCCAATGAAATTTAAGTAATAAATAAGAAATAAGTTAGAAATCAGCTGGAGGTGTGGAATTCTGAACAATTATATATATAAATGATCATATACTACATTTTGCTAAACTAAATTATTAGCCATATTGTTACAATACACAGATTGAAAGTGTAGTCCAATCTTGCTTGGTTGAATGGAAAGAAAGATAATTTTATTTTCAAACTGAATGCATAATGTAAAGAGATTAACAATAATGTTTAAGTGCTTCAAAGGCTACATGTTCCACTTCCGTTGCAAAAGTACCTGTAGGATTCCAGGGTGTATCATCTGCACTTTTTCTCTTTTTGGATCTGGATTTGAAAACTGGATCATCATCATCAGATTCAAGTGATGGATAAACTAAACACATAAAAGTGGTCTTTATGTATTAACTGTTTTATGTAAACAAAACTTTAGATGACACTTAAAACTTGTATTAGAAAATAAACCATCGTCGCATTTTCCATACTTCTACTCTACAAGGTAACATATCTCTTTCTGGTTACAACCAGCTTATAATTCTGTCTGAAGATATACTAACAGAAAGATCATTGAAAGGACTTGTTAACGTTTGTAGTCACCTTAAAATGATAGAAAAGAAACGTACTTTGGATACTGGAATTCTGAAATAAAAACAGAAAATGCTAGAAATACTCAACAAGTCTGGTGGCATCTATGTAGAGATAAACAATTAACTTATCAGGCCTGGGATTTTTGATCAGAATAATGTTTAATTAGTAGATGGGAAATTTTAAAAAAATGTCATCACACAGAAGGTTGTTTAGACCTGGAACACCTCAAGAGACCTGGGTTGGTAGTTTCAAGAAACCTTGGCCACGAAACTAGGTTGGCTTACACTCAATTTCTGCACTCTATGAGTGCATTTTGAGCTCCAAATCAACAATTCTAACATGCAATCACAACAGATGTCCCATTGGCTGAGCCACTAGAGCATAAGCAGTGAATTCTGAGTATGCAGAACAGACAGATCATGATATAAATTAGTGTGCAATACTGATTTTACGCCAGCTGTCACATTGTAGAGCTCAACGCTCCAGTTAAGGCCCTCACACAACCTGACATAACTGAACATGTGTTCAACAGCAGGGAGGAATCCCATTGCCTATGCCCCCATCTCAATTATAATTTAAAGGTTTCTTCAACTACTTACAACAATAATGGGCAACTTAAAATTTACAGTGGACTAACTAAATGAGTACTAATGCTGTGGAGGATAAATTCAGGAGTACATACAAGGTGAGTTTCTGGAGGAGTATGTTGATCACAGGCTATCTTGGATTTAGTATTGCTTAATGAAAAAGGGTAATTAATAATCTTGCTGCACAGAATCCTTGGGAAACAGTAACCATAACATTATAACATTTTGTATTAAGTTTGAATACAATATGTTTCATTCTGAAACTTAGGTCTTAAATCAGAAGAAGGAAAATCATAAAGATATGATGGGCAAGTTGGCTATGGTAGATTGAAAAACTAAAGTAAAGGATTTGATGGCAGGTACTCAATGGTTAGTAATTAAATAAACGTGACACTGTCTACAACAGATGAACATTTCCGTAAAGCACAAACACCCAAAGGGAAAAGGTAAAGCAACTGTAATTAATGAATTAAGTAAAAGTCTCTGTTGGGATCAAGGAAATTGGCTTATAAAGATGCTAGAATAACGGTTAATCCTGAGGATTTCAAGCACTTTAGAACCCAGCAGAGTTAAGAAACCAATTTAGAAAGGGAAGAATACGCATGCAAACTAGCTGAAATATAAATCCAGACTCAATGCTTCTTTATGTACATGAAAAGAAAAAGATTAGATCATTACAGATGCAGATAGGAGAATTTATAGTGGAGAACAGAGAAAAGGCTGACAAAATAAATAGTTTACATCTGTCTTCAAAGAATACAGAAGGCCTTTCGGAAAAACCCGGTGACCAAGACCTTTCAGAAAAACTTGGTGACCAAGGGACTTGTGAAACTGAGGATTGAAAGAAATCAGTATTAGTAAAGAGGCAGTTGAGAGGTTAACTAGATTGAAAGTTGACAAATCCCTTGGACCAGATGAGCGGAACCACAAAGAGTTAAAGGAGGTGGCTGGAGAGATAGTTGTTGCATTGATGATTATCTTCCAAGACTTTAGATTCTGCAAAGGTTCCGATGACTGGAAAAAATATAAGAACAAAAACAGCCATTTGATATGACCCTGGTTGATCTCATCTCACCTCAACTCCACTTTCCTGCCTGCTCTTCATAACCTTCAACCTATTACTAATTAAAAATCTGCCTATCTCCTTCTTAAACTTACTCAATGTCCCAGCATCCACGATACTCTGAGGTACTGCATTCCACAGACAAAGTAGCAAATGTTACCTCACTATTTAAGAAAAGAGAAAGAGGATAATGGAGAATTACAGATGTGTTAGTTTGACATCACTAGTAGGAACAACGTTACAATTTATTACAGATGATGGTCATTCAGAAAACAATGGCAAAATTGGACAGAGGTAACATGGATTTATAAAAGGAAAATCATGTTTGACAAACTTGGATTTTTTCAAGAATGTCACTTCTAAGAAAAGGAGAACCAGTGGATGCCATTTATTTGAATTTTCTGAAGGCTATCAATAAGATTCAACACAAGCGGTTAGCAAAAAATTTAAACAGAATTGAGAGAGATATACTAGCATGAAGTAAGAATTAGATAACAGGCAGAAAGTGATTAGGAATAAATAGATCATTTTCAGGATGGCAGGCTGCTGGTAAAGAGGTACCACATGGGTCAGTAAAACGTGCACAATTGCTTCCAATTTATAATGATTTGGATGTCGGGATCAATTGCAATTTTTTCAAATTTGCTGATAACACCAAACTGAATGGGAATACAAGTTGTGATGAAGATACAAGAAAGCTCAAGGGAACAGGGACAGGCTATGTGATTTTTTTTTATCCATTCATGGGATATGGGCGTTATTGGCTGGGAAGCATTTATTGCCCATCCTTAGTTACCCTTAAGAAGATAGTGGTGAACTGCCTTCTTTGAACGGCTGCAGTCCATTTTCTGTAGTTAGATCTATAATGTCGAAGGAGTTCCAGGACTTTTAAGCAGCAACAGTGAAGGAACGGGACCAGAAGATGGTAGACAGAATATAATGTGAAGTTATTCACTTTGATAGAAAAATAGAATGTCAGATTTCTTTTTCTTCACAGCGTGAGAAGTTGGGAAATATGGGTGCTGAAAGTGATCTTGGTGTCCTTGCTGTTGAGTCACTAGAAGTGAGCATGAAGAAACTGCAAGTAGTAAGTAAGACAAATGGTATGTTGGCCTTCATCATAACAGGATTTGAACACAGGAGTAAAGACATCTTGCTGCACTTGTTTAACTCAGTGAGATGTCACCTGGGGTACTGTGTACAGTTTTGGTCCCTTTCTCAAACTAAGGATTTACTTGCCAAAGAAGTAGTGCAAAGAAGGTTCATTAGAGTAATCGCTGAGATGGCAGGATGATCTAATGAGAGCAGATTGGGTCTGTTTTCTTTAGCTTTCTGAAGAATGATCTCATTGGGACTTTAAAAAATTGTGTAGCAAGTGGATATAGATGTTTTCCCAGGCTGTGAGTCTAAAACCAGGATCAGTTGTATGTCATTTACAAGTAAGATGAGGAGGGGATTCTTATTGATGAATACATCCAGACCTCTTTGTACATCTACAATTTCTAAACTCTTAGCATTTAAAAATACTCTGCACATCTGTTCCTTGTACCAAAGTAGATAACTTCACAATTACATTTCTGCATAATCTTGCCCACTTGCTAACTTTGTCCAAATCCTCTTAAAGCCACTTTGCATCTTCCTCACAGCACACATTCCCATCTATCTTTGTGTCATCTGCAAACGTGGCAATGTTACATTTTGGCCCCCCATCCAAATCATTGATATATCCTATGTGCCCTAATTTTGCTAACTAACCTCCTGTAGGTGAACTCATCAAAAGCCTCTAAAAATCTAAGTATACTGCATTCATCAAATGTCATTTATCAATTCTCTTAGTGTCACCCTCAAAATCTCCAACCGGTTTGTCAAACACAATTTCCCTATCACAAATCCATGTTATGCCCAATCAGGTCTTTATTATATAAGTGTCCATTTATCATATCCTTTCACAGATTCTAGCATTTTCCCTAGTACTGAAGTAGGACTAATTGGTCTGTAGGTCGCTGTTTTCTCTCTACCCCACCTTCCATTTCTTAAATAGTGGGCACATTTATTACCTCTTTCATACTTTGAATGTAGAATACAGGGTCCTCCAATCTCACTAATACTAATTTCCTTCAATTCCACATTGTACTGAGTCCCTAGAATTTCTAACACTGGGAGATTTCTTCTACTTTCATCCGGAAAGACAAGTATAATGTAATCACTTAGATTCTCCGTCATCTCCATTTTCCATCATAAATTTTGCTGACTTGTTCTCTAAATGACCAAATTGATCTTAGCCATACGTTTCCTGTTTTTTTTATACCTTTAGAAGCTTTTACAATCCCTTTTAATTTTTCTTGCCAGTTTATGAATATAATCTTCCAATTCTTATTACTATTTCTAGCAACTTCATAGGTCTATTCTTTTAATTATGTTTAATCCTTAACATTCTCTGTCAGCAAGGTGACTGAATATTTTTGGGCTTTCACATCTTGAAGAAATGTAGAGTTACTATAAACTATAATTATCAACTATCAATTGCCTATGGATACTCAATTTTTAAAAAGTATTTTCCTAATCCCAGCCAATTTGCCCTCATACCTTCATAATTTCCTTACTATAAAATTAATATCCTGATTTCAGAATGAACTGTCTCATTTTCAAATATAACGTAAAATTTTATCACAAAGGCAAATCAGGGCAAGACTTATGCACTTAATGGTAAGGTTCTAGGGAGTGTTGCTGAACAAAGAGACCTTGGAAGATAGTTCTGACGAAGGGTTTCGGCCTGAAATATTGACTTTCCTGCTCCTCTGATGCTGTCTGACCTGCTGTGCTTTTCCAGTCTCACACCTATAGCCCTGAAAGAGACCTTTGAATGCAGATTCATAATTCCTTGGAAGTGCAATCACAGATAGATAGGATTGTAAAGAAGCCTTTTGGTATGCTTGCCTTTATTGGTCAGTGCATTAAGTACAAGAGTTGGGAGCTCGTTGCGGCTGTATAGGACATTGGTTAGGCCACTTTCGGAATACTGTGTTCAATTCTGGTCTCCCTGCTTTGGAAGGATGTTGTGAAACTTGAAAGAGTTCAGAGAAGATTTACAAGGATGTTGCCATGTTTGGAGGGTTTGAGCTAAAGGGAGAGGCTGATAGGCTGGGGCTATTTTTGCTGGAGATCAGAGGCTGAGGGGTGACCTTATAGAGGTTTGTAAAATCACGAGGGGCATGGATAGGGAGAATAGCCAAGGTCTTTTCCCCGATATGGGGGAGTCCAAAACTAGAGGGCATAGATTTAAGGCAAGGAGAGAAAGATTTATAAAGGGACCTAAGCGGCGACATTTTCACACAGAGGGTGGTGCATGTATGGAATGAGCTGCCAGAGGAAGTGGTGGAGATTGGTACAATTACAACATTTAGAAAGCATCTGGATGGATACTTGAGAAGGAAGGGTTTAGAAGAATATGGGCCAAATACTAGCAAATGGGACTAGATTAATTTAAGATATTTGATCAGCGTGGACAAGGTGGACCAAAGGGTCTGTTTCCATGCTGTACAACTCTATGACTCTATATTATTGGCACTTATCTCTAACCATACATTATTAATTAGCCCCTTTTCATTCCATAATAATCGATCTAAAACTGCCTGCCCTCCAGGCAATTCGTTCACACACTGTTTTAGAAAACCATTCCTAACACACTTTAGAATCTCATCCTCTACAGCCTTAGAGATCATTAGATTTACCCCATCCATATGCATATTGAAGTCTATCCCCCACTATGAGAGGGTAGTGACCTTTAGAATTTTCTACTTCAAAGTGCAATGGAAACTCAATCAATGAGCATGGTCAGTACAGAAATCAGTAGACCGTTGGAGACTAAGGATATCAAGTGATATGGAGATAGTGTGAGAAGTGGTACTGAGATAAATGATCAGTCATGATCTAAGTGATTGGCAGAGCGGGCTCAGCAGGCTGAACTGTCCTGTTCCTATGTTCCCATAAATTAACCTCTTCTGGATGCTGTTACAATTCTACAAATGTCTGATACTTTCTGTAAGTGTCTCAAGTTGCAAAAGTCTACAGAGTGAAGTATGTAAAGTGACAAAGATGAATGATTCCAGTGTACAACCCATGAACACACGGACAGCTTTCCATAATGAAAGCCATGCTGCCAAAAGCAATATAGTAGCAAACTAAAAGAGTGCTGAAACAACGTTTCTGCTGCCTGAAGTGCTCTGGAGTAATCTGTAGTACTTGGGAAAGCAGGCACTAAGAATGGTAGTCTGCTGCATTCTGCACTATCCTGCAGAGGATGTCAGCAGAAGGAAAAACTGCTTCCAGGTGCTTGGAGTTTAACTCCTGGTTGTGACTTTGATGACCATCTACTCCCACTGCCTTTTGAGGTGGTTTGCCTCTCCTCCTGTCTGTAATATAATACAGCAGCAAAAACTGTGAACTCTATGACCTCCCTTGTGTGTCATTCCTTACGTTTTCCCAGATCAGATTTACCTCCTGTCCAACTGCCTTCACCTCCCCTTTGATTGCAGGTTAGTTTTAAGAGGTACAAGCCATGCAAGAGGTAGCTTGTTGCTACACCTATCCAATAAACAGCAATGACTAGACGCAGAGATTATTCAAATATGCAGGAAGCACAAATTTGCTGTGTTGCCTGCATTGAAATCAATAGACATGGGTTAATCGAGTACCATTTGATCTTTTGTACTGCTTCACATCTTGCTCCTAGACAGCAGTGCACTAAATGAATTCAGCAGGCTCATTACTAAGGTGCCTTCAGGCTATTAGCCTTCTACAAGATCATGGCTCGTACAGCACAAAGCGGCCAGTACTTCAGACAAATCTTAGCATCAAGACTCATAGAGAAGAACTGCTTGAGTTGAATTTAACATTTTATATAAACGCATAACATTGCACAGAATAATCATTTCAAAGTTTCCCACAATTCCTGAAGAATGAGATGTAGAACTGATTACTGTATCATAATCACTAAATATAGGTGGAAGTTTTTAGTTAACCATTGTTTAACTTCCCTTATTCATAACATTTATAATCTCTAAGCAGGCGATAAAGTCTTGTTGTAAATTAGGTGTTGTCCCTCTATCCCTTGCTTTCTTTGCATGGAGTATAAGTCTATTCTAATATATAAATCCTAGAAAATATTTGACATGTTAATCTCTGGTTGAAGAATCCTACGTACACCAGTGAGAGGAATAACTCTTTCTATACTCACAACTAAAATAAATACTGCCTCGTTAATACATTTTTGAATTTAAAGAAATTCATAGCAATATTATCCAGACATTTTGAATGAAATAATGTTTAGATGACTAATAAATGTAATCTACTCAATTAATCAATAAATTCTGAACTAAATTCACAGTTTTGCAGAGCACTTTGAAACTTGGTTTTCCAGTTATTCAAATTTTGTATAGAACAAGTTATGATTAAACATAACAGAAGTATTTGTAACTCTTTCATTAATATATACTAATCAGCACTAATCATCAATCCAATTTTAAAATGTATATATATCCTAGCAGGACACGTATTCCTTTGAAATCTAAATCCAGTTTAGGATAATAATCAGTACCATTACTATTTTGAAGGTTAAGGTTACAGTGTCAGAAATACTTTTAGTATGAGGAAGGGTACAAAAACATGCTTAATAATAATGTTGATCATTATGTGAGACATATGGATATAATTAAGTGACATTATTTTGTTTATGCAATTATGTGATTGAATAATTGATACCCATTTGGAAAACTTTTAACTTTGCAAGATGACTTCAAATAAACTATATGTTACTATGTACTTTAACTGAGATTTTACTTGGGCTGTGCAAAAGCTAAGTTTGCTTTCAATATTCCATGATTTGCATTTGGAAATGGAAACAAAAAACAAAAATGATAAAAATAATATGGCATCTAGACATTAAAAAGTTGAGCTTATTAAAACATAAGGGACATTTCATTTTAATGAAATTTATTTACATTTAAGTTTTCACATCCAGAGGAAACCAGAATACTTTCAGGATCTGTCTTTAGAAAATGCTGATATATCACCTAAGTTTCCCAACTCTGGCTGGACATATTCCAGGAGACACTAAGGGAAATTACATCATGTAAGCTAGCAGTGTGGTGGGAGCATGTTCCAGGTTTTAGTTGGTGGTATAAACAGATAAATCAATATTTTTTTCTGAAGAAGGGTCCAGATCCGAAACGTCAGCTTTCCTGCTCCTCTGATGCTGCCTGGCCTGCTGTGTTCATCCAGCTCCACACCTTGTTATCTCAGACTCCAGCATCGGCAGTTCGTACTATCTCTAAATCAATATTAATGTTCCTTCTACTTTTGTTGATGCATAATAATAGGGAATGGGAGGCGGAATTTGCTGGAAACATCAGGAATAAGAAAATCTTGAGTCAGGCCATATATTATACTGTTAAACCTTTTCACAAGTCTTAATTGTGCTGTGAACCCTTTCAATATAGCTACAGTTGCAAGCTTGCAATTGACACAGGCAGCAGATGCAATTTGAAATGGAACTGGGATTGGAAAGAGGGAAAACGAAGCTCAGTAGCTCAATCAGTGGCATGGCGTTGCCATCACTGGGACTGACAGGCTTGTATTTCACACCAGTCAGAAGTTGAAGTTGTTGGTATTTTCAGGGCATCAGAGGTTGGTGGAGGAGGCCTCATTAAAAAAACAAGCATCACCTGAGGGAGTAACAAGCTACCTTGACTTTGGACAAAGTTGCGAGAAGGCATTCCAGAAGATAAAAACCAAAAGAAATGCAGATGCTGTAAATCAGAAGCAAAAGTAGAAGTTGCTGGAAAAGCTCCACAAGCCTGGCAGCATCTGTGAAGAAAACATCAGAGTTAACATTTCAGGTCCAGTCACCGGACCTGAAATGTTAACTCTAATTTTTTCTTCACAGGTGGTGCCAGACCTGCTGAGCTTTTCCAGAACCTCTGTTTTTGTTCCTGGCTTCAGAAGATAAACCCTCCTGGTCAGCAGGAGGCCAGAGGGAACAGAGAAGGCTTACAATGTGATGAAACAGCTAGCTAAGAAATTAGATGCAGCAGACCTAAGTCAGCTTCTACAAATTACAGAGTTCCAAAGTCATAGAAGGCTGTGACTATCCAGGCTGTTGGTCTCAGTCATCTGTGCTCTGGTCCACAATAAGTCTGCCAATGCCCCAACAGAAGCATTGGAAAACCTTGGTGTTGATCAAGAATGCCTGATACTGCCAACTGGGGCTGATTGGGACTCTCTTGCGATATGCCCTCATCAAATGGTAGGGCCAAGTCAAATTCATTTGGTGCCAAAATCATTTATGGATCAATTGTATGTTTTACACTTAAAAATGGCATTTTGGCATTTACACCTACATCAAGTGGGGTCAGGACCCATTAGGTTATTCATGTGTCAGCTACCCAACATTATAGTAAAAATCAAGCACATTGTACCAATGTACATACTGTAACTATTGAAAACAATATTCAGGTGTTAACATTTCAACAACATTTGCTAAGTAGTTTATCACTGAAATCCAAGGTTCTGCTGTTCCTAATTAAGTCAACCAGCAGTTCTAAATGAATAACTGCTAAACAAAGAATTTTGTTAAACAAATTTATGAACACTGAAAAGATCAAATTGTAGTAGGGATATTTTACATTCTCTTTACGTCAAAGTTGGTTAATCTCAGTCAAAGATGCAAGATAACTTTGAACAACAGCTATTAGTCAGCAATTGCTCTATGCTTTATTCCATTATTATATCAGTTGTGTCATTGCTATTTATCAAATTCACTTACCATATTCAGAATCTTTGAAACATGCTCCTAGGCTGTCCTGGTCTTCATAATCATTAATGTCAATAGTGGTCTGTGTAGTGCTTTTGACTAATCGTTTCCCTGTGTGCTTATTAATGTTGCTACCAGTTTTCTTTGATCCTTGAACTATGGATGAGCTATTTTTAACTTGGTTGCTGGTCCATGAAGTTTGTAAGCAGGAGTCTGAGGACTGGAGATTAGCCATGGACAACATGCCCTGGATGGCTTCTTGTGTGCTGGGTGAGGCTGGTGGTTGGCTAAAATAGAAGCAAAAAGAGTTATATGATTCCGTAAGAGAAGTCAGCTGAAGAAAAACTAACAAACATAGATACCATATTTACAGCTTTGTTTCTGTTATCACTGTCTGCTAGGAATTTGCACAAAATAGTGGAAAATTACACATTTGTGTATTAATCCCAAGAGAACCGATAAACTATAACACTCAACTTCAAACCAAACCAAATTATAACCTTATTCCAATAGGGCACTATGAAAAATCTTTTCTTCATAACGATTTTATGTTTTTATGTACAAATATTTTATTTTGCTCTTTAATGTCTTTGCTCACCCTGGTCAACAATATAAAAGCTAAGTATAGCTGGATTGAGTTAGCGCTTGATTTTCAAAGCATCTCTGTGGGATGGCCCTTTATTCTGTTTACTGTCTCACTGCTGTTTAAAAATGCATCCAAATCTGGGGGCTCCCATTTCCTGGAGCTCTTAATTCAACTTTATTATGTTTATCCATATGCATTTACATATATTACGGGAACAAAAAAAATTGAAAGTTAAAAATTTTCGTTATCAACTCTTTGTCTATCCGACTGCTCTTCTCTCTCTTTGGGCTCTATCCTATCGTTTAATCCCTACCCCATCCCCCTCACTTTTTTCTGTATATAAACTCAGGTTTTCCCAGCCACCATCAGTTCTGAGGAAGGTTCATTGGACACGAAACGTTAACTGTTTTTTCCTCCACAGATGCTGCCAGACCTGCTGAGCTTTTCCAGCAACGTTGTTTTTGTTCCTGATTCATAGCATCTGCAGTTCTTTTGGGTTTTTTTGTTAAAAACTTTCTTACAGATTTCTCTGACTCAAAACATACTACTTTTTAAATCAAATTATAAGTTGAAATGTGCGCTGAGTACCTCCTCAGTCTACAATATTGTAAATTAAGGTTCATATGCCGTGCTTCCGAGCAATAAAAATTTAAAATAAAAAAAATTTTGTACTTTGAAATTTTCTATACACATGGCCAAACCAATTTTCAATCGCGTTTAAACATATACCAGCATATCTAGCACAAATTCACATTTCTTCGAATCTATTTTCAAGATCTCTTTTGCTAATTTGGAACCTCAAACGATGCTATAGGACTATCAAAATTTAAATCCTAAGTAATTTAAAATTAGGGGAATGAAGTGATCAGGCAAAGAGAAAAGTAAAAAGATAGGTTACATGAGTAGAAGAGAGATAAAAATCATAAACCAATCAGGCAGGTATAAGGATCAAGAACACTACTTAAAAAGTGAATGGAAGCTGATTTAATAAATAATTTTAATTTGAGTTATTTTCAGGGTTACAGATAGAAAATGGGAGTGTTGGACTAAGCATGACTGCTCATTTCAAAGACTCACACAGACACATTGCCATGTGGACTCCTTATCTTTGCAAGTTTCTATTATACTATGAATACCTGTAGTAACTTAGTCCAACAGTAAGAAAATAAATCTATATTTTTAAACAAAGCCCCTATGTGCATTTCATATCAAAGCACTGACAATTTACAAAACACAGTGGAGCTAAAATTGTGGAATTTCCCTGTCTTTGATTGTCAAAATTGAATTGAAACTTACAAATGTAAAATAAACAAATGTGAGGAACTGAATACCTAAGAAATGAGCCAAACATCCCCACATCATCCCTCGCAATCTTACATCCACTAATGTTTTCCACTTTTACAGTAATATGTGCTTTACCATCTGAATTATTTTCTATTTAACTGTAATTACTACATTTAGCTCCATGAGGATATCATTTTTACCTGAAATCAGTGATATCACAGTTGGTGACTTTTGCTGCTTTAACAACCTTGCTGCAAAAGACATATGAAAAGATGTTATCAGATCAAATATTTAGATTAAACAAATAAAAAATATTAATATAATAAAGCTAAACAACAGTGACGCCCTTAACAATCAGATCAGCATTTTTTAAAGAAGACATTAAAATTTACTGGTCAAATGTAACATCATTTCTAAATTCCATCTTCGGAGCTATGACTCATACCTGTTTCCACTGTATTCAAGACCGCCAACCTGTTTGCTGGCTTGTAACAGATCCAGTATCCCAGCAGAACTACTGGTTTCACTCTTTCTGTCAGTGCTAGGATCTGGCTTTGCCTCAGTATCAATATGAAGTGAATCTTCATCAGATGAATTGTCATCCTGCATGTGAACCCAAAAATAAAAATGAATTGCAAGTGATTGATGCACAACAGGGTATAGAACAAGAAATTAAAAGTTGATTTGTTTTAATCATCCAAAACAATTATTACTTAATCTTTTGGTGCAAGCACTTTCAATCTTAATTCTGCAACAGCTTTGCAAGTTTCCCAAGTTAGACAGTAGTGTCCCAGGTCACCTCATTCCCAATGCAATTTAACACTGCTATGGCTGAAACACTATAGCTGGGAGAATTGTCTGTAACGTTGGGGGTTGGCACATCCTTCCAATGCAATCAGGACATTTTCTAACATATATTGTTGCAAATACAGACTACAGCAGTTTAAGAAAATGACTCACCATCACCTTCTCATGAATAGTTAGGGACGGCCAAAGTGATACCCATATTCCATGAATGAGTAAATTTTTTAAAGATTCTGTTCAGCTAACAGTAACAGCAAAGCCACGGTCAGTATTATGAGCCCAAGCACTTATAAAATTAATTCCACAAGTAATTGTTAAATATATGCTGACATACCTGATTAGAACGGTGTTGAACCACAGGTTCCCTCATTTCAGTGTGTCCCACACCCTCTTTGGTCTTTGTTAAAACTAAGAAACAAAAAAGATAGTTAATGGATGAAATAAATGATTATTAACAGATAAGATAAATATTGGGAGATCAAAAGCCTTCATCTTCTGTGCCAACAAATTGCATTCTAACCACCAATTTCAATCTTCATAGAATCATAGAATCCCTACAGTGTGGAAACAGGCCCTTCAGACCAACAAGCCCACACCAAACCTCAGAGCATCCCACCTAGACACATCCCCCTACAACCCACCTAATCTACACCTCCCTGAAACACTACAGGCAATTCAGCATGATCAATCCACCTAACCTGCACATCTTTGGACTGTGGGAGGAAATCGGAGCACCCGGACGAAACCCACGCAGACATGGGGAGAATGTGCAAACTCCACACAGACAGTCGCCCGAGGCTGGAATCCAACCCGGGTCCCTGGTGCTGTGAGGCAGCAGTGCTAACCACTGTGCCACCGTGCCGCCCCTTCTCCGAAGTCACTCCCAGGCTGAAGCAGATAGCTTGCAACCTTTGTCCTATAAGACTGCAACCCTCAGCTTCTGGCCCCATAACCTTTTCTAACCTATTCAGTTTAATGAAGATACAGACCCTAGTCCACCTTTTTTAATGTGTTTACTCAAATGCTATCAAATTGTTCAGAGGGGTACGGTCTCACAATAGACACCATAATCTTGCTCCCCACAATCAGTTCAGTCACTCTCCCTTTGGGTGTGCTTGTCAAACAAGTACTCCGCCATGTCATTCTCAGGGGCTCCCAGTTTCTTCAGGTTGGTGACGCAATTTCCAAGCTTCATGATCATCTTCACTTGTCAGAATTCCACTCATCTATCCATGCTCTGGTTTAACTACTAACTAAACCCTCATCCATGCCTTTGTCATCTCCAGGCTTGACTGTTCCAGCTCCCTATTCCTCAAATGTCTGTGAACTTCATTTCATCCAAAATCCTGCTGTCTGTATTCCATTCCACATTAGGTTCTGCTCACTCCTGTCCTTGCTGAACTAATTTGTCACCTACTCGGCAATAGCACAAATTTAAAATTCTCACCTTTTAATCCATTCATGTGCTCATTCTGCCCTAAAACCCTGCCTCTTTCACTCTCAATTCCCCAACCCAACTCTCTAGTGTGACAGCCCTTTTGTCCATCCGACCCCTACCCCCAACCTCACAGTCTCAAGATTGCGATCAGTTGTTCTATATTGCCAGTCTGTCCAGATTGTTTTACAAAGTCCTTTTTATCTGGTTTGAGATGGTAAAATGCTGTTTGTTCAACACTTATCAAAGAGTCATAAAGAGAAGAAATTTTACTCCTTTTAATTCTGGACGTTAAAAATAGCAGCAATCAGTATTATTATACTGACTTACATTATACGGGTTTCCTTAATTCTTCCACTGGAACTGGGCACTGCATGCTAGTCAAGCATTACCTATCCCTAGTTATCCTCGAGAAGGTGGTGGTGAGTCGTCTTCTTGAACGACTGCCATAGTAGGTTTGTAGATCCATAGTATTTTAGGGAGGGAAATACCAGGATTTTGACCCAATGGTAACGACGAAACATCAATATAGTTCCAAGTCATGATAGATGAACTTGCAGATACTTGCAGTTGTGTGCAAACATAAAATTCTGAAAATATTACTTACATGTTAAATTTCTTTTAGAAGCAGTTTTCTTTCTTCTTATTGGAAATTCATCAATCTGTAATTCACCATCATCTGAAACATACTCGTATTCATCTTTTACTGGTTTCGGCTTGTCTTCTTTAATATTTTGCAAACAGCCGAACACATGATCAGACTTTACAGATTTTGTTTGAGTCTTCACTCCTTTACAACTGTTAAAGTATAATATTTAGACATCAAAATAAAAATATTTTCCAAGCGGTCAGGAGCAACTGTAAAAATGTTCATCTTTCTCTTACGGTGCAAACACAAATAATGCCTCTCTAGAAAGTATATAGTAATTAATACAAACCAATCATTAAGCTCATCAGACTGAATGTTCAAATCATTTTACTTTTCAAACAATTTTGACATCAGAACTTGATTTAAATAATTGCAGCAGTCATTGAAAGGATGCTCAACTAATCTGCAGAAACAATGACTTCATTACCAACATTCTGTTACCAATGGCAAATGATCAGGATGGGGACTAAAATGTTTGAATGGTAAAATCTCCCCAGACTATGTTAAATTGCAATTTCTATGAAAATTGGTTTCATGTCAACAAGTATTACAACAATTTATATAGCACTTTTTAATGTAACAAAATATTCCAAGATACTCCCAAGTGTATTATAAAATAAAGCATAACACCAAGACTCATAAGAGGATACTGAGCCAGACACCAAACAGCTTGGACAATGAAGGAGGCTTTAAGAAGTGCCTTAAAGAAGGAATGTGAGACACAGAGGTATAGGGATGAAATTTCAGAGTTTCGAGGCTACAGGCAACTGAATACATGGTCACCATTGGTGATTTTATTTGAGAATGGACAACAGGCCAGAATTAGATGAGTGCAGATATCTTGGAGTTGAAGGACATTACCAAAATAGGGAAAAGCAAGGCCATGGAGGGATTTAAAAACAAGGGTACAAGCTTTAAAATCAAGAGACTGCTTGACTAGAAGCCAATGAAGGTCAGAAAGTGTAGGTGCTAGGGAATGGGACTTACTGCAATATAAGACATAACAGCAGAGGTTTGAATGACCTCAGCCTGGGGGTAGAAAATCGAGAAACCAGCCAGGTGATGAAACTGAAATTGTTGTGTCAAGGTAACAAAGGCACAGATGATGTCCTGCCTTGGAGAGGGGGAAACTTCATGCAAATATTTAAAATCAGGATCCCACAGCAAATTTAGGAGTTCGGTTTAAATATAACAGTTGGCTTGCAAGCTTCCCAGGCAATAAAAGAGCAACAGAAGTTGGTGCTTTTCACAGAACTCTTAGTCAACTAGGTCAAGTCCATGAAGAAAGCCTTCAGATTCCCACAGTGCCGATTGTGGTTCCTCTCTTCCCATCTCCATCCATGAAATTGCCAATCTTTCAAGTTCCAATCTCTAGTTCCCAATCTGTGACTATCAACCTCCCACATTAACCGGTTCCCCTCTGTCTTGTGATCACCAACCCATTGAGATGAGATAATTGTTTTCTGATTTCCAGTGATCACTGACCTCCCGAATGCTATACTCTAGTGCCCTGTCACAATAACCAACTGGATCCTTGCTTGCTCCACATTTCTTGAGTTCTGGGGACAATGTGAGTGGTCGACAGCTATAGCCCCTTACCACTGTGCCACCGTTCTTCCCACTTGCTCGATAGAAGGATTAACAATTTGGACGGGTGTAAGTGGGAAGTGATACACAGAAGATTGAATGAAGTCCTGCCTAAAGTGCCAGATTTGGCAGGAACTTCACATCCAGGTCAATAAGAAAGGTCCTTGTTTCTCTTTTCACAGATGCCGTTGGACATGCTGAGTAGTTCTAGCATTTTCTGTCTTTACTTTCGTGTCCCCTGCTGGATGGTCCCTACAGGCATCCATAAACATTAGCACCAGTATTTCAATAATCAAGTGATCAATGTGATTCAAATCATCATTACAATGGGGGAAAAGTGTACATAATTGATGTGGATGTAAATAATAAAAGAAACAAAAATAGAAATTGCTGGAAAAGCTCAGCAGATCTGGCAGAATCTGTGGAGAGAAACCAGAGTTAATGTGTTAGGTTGAGTGACCCTTCCTCAGAACTGATGGTAGCTAGGAAAATGTTGGTTTATAGGCAGACGTTAGGATGGGGGAGGGGGTGAGTAGTAAACGATGGATAGAGATAGAGCTCAAAGAGAGAGAAGAACTGTTGAACAAAGGAGCGGATAATGATCTCGCTAGGAGGGTGAATAGCTATTAATGGAGACTGTTAGTGGCTAACAATGGATTGTTTATAATAGCAGACAATGTGATAACAAGGCCTGGTATGTGGAGGTTGGGGGTAAAGACCTGGGAGAGCTCCAAGTCCTAAAGTTATTGAACTCAAAATGGAGTTTGGAAGGTTGCAGGATCCCCAAGTGGAAAATGACATGCTGTATTTCCAGCTTGTGCTGATCTTTGCTGGAGCACTGCAGCAAGCCCGAGACAGAGATGTTGACCAGGGAACAGGATAATATGTTGAAGTGGCAGGAAACTGGAAGTTCAGGGTCTACAGAACGCAAGTGTTCTGCAAAACAGTCACCCTGTCTACGCTTTGTTTCCCTGATGTTGGCAAGACCACATTGTGAGTGCAAATGCAGTACAGTAGATTGTGTGAAGTGCAGGTAAAGCGCTGCTTCACCTGGAACGTGTGTTTGAGCCCTTGGATACTGAGAAAGTAAACAGACAGGTGTTGCACCTTCTGCGGTTGCAGTGGAAGGTGCCGTGAGATTGTGGGGGGTTGTTGGGAGTAAAGGAAGAGTGGACTAGGGAGTCTTGGAGGGAACGGTCCCTGCAGAAGGCTGACAAGGGAGGGGAGGGGAAGGGTATGTGCGTCTAGTGGTGGTATCTCGTTGGATGTGGCGGAAATGGCAGCTAATGATCCTATGGATGTGGATTCTGGTGGGATCATAGATAAAGACAAAGAGGACCTTCAGCTTGGTCTAATCCACCTTCCACACTTCAGCCCTCACCCCCTCTCTTCCTTCCCGCAACAGTGATAGGGTCCCCCTTGTCCTTACCTACCATCCCACCAGCATCGACATCCAGAGGATAATTAGCTGTCATTTCTGCCACCTCCAGCAAGATGCCACCATCAGAGACATATCCACTCCCTTGTCAGCCTTCCACATAGTCTGTTCCATCCAGGACATGGCTGGTCCACTCTTCCTTCACTCCCAACAATGGCCCACAACCCCACACAACCTTCCACTACGACTGCAGAAGGTGCAACACTTGTCCATTTATTTCTTCCCTCTCATTATCAAAGAGCCTTCAACTTCCAGGTAAAGCAGCGCTTTACTTTCATTTCACACAATCTAGTCTACTGGATTTGCTGCTCACAATGTGGTCTCCTCTACATCGGGAAAATGAAGCGTAAACTGAGTGACCACTTCGCAGAACGCTTACTTTCCATCCACAGAAAAGATCGTGAATGTCCAGTTACCTGTCACTTCAACACACCAACGTGTTCCCTGGCCAACACGCCTGTCTCAGGCTTGCTGCAGTGTTCCAGTGAAGCTCAGCACGAGCTGAAAGAACAGCTTGGGGATGCTGCAGCCTTCTGGATTCAATATCGAATTCAATATCTTTAGAGTTTGAGCTCTCCCATGTCCTTACCCCAACTCCCACACACCAGGCCTTGTTATTACATGGTCTGCTATTCCGAGGAAGGGTCACTCGACCCAAAACATTAACTCTGATTTTTCTTTGTAGATGCTGCCAAACCTGCTGAGCTTTTTTGTTTCAGATTTACAACATCCGTAGTTCTTTCGGTTTTTACTTGTTATCACATGGTCTGCTATTAGACACAACCCATTGTTAGCCACTAACAGTCTCCATTAATAGCTATTCACCCTCTTAGCCAGATCGTTATCCACTCCTTTGTCTGTCCAACTGTTCTTTTCTCTCTTTGAGTTCTAGCCCCACCTATCATTTACTCCTTACCCCTCCTCCCACCCTATCTTCTGCTTATAAACTGCCATTTTCCTCGCGACCATCAGTTCTGAGGAAGGGTCACTTGACCTAAAAAGCTAACTCTGATTTCTTTTCACCGATGTTGCCAGACCTACGAAGCTTTTCCAGCAATTTCTATTTTTGTTTCTGATTTACAGCATCTGCAGTTCGTTCAGTTTTTTATTAATTAATGAAAGATGTGCTTACATTTTGATACAGAAAACATTGAAACAAAATACTTTGGACATGAAAATGGGGACGCACATTAGTAAGACTATAAATGGAATGGAGGACCTAAATGGCCTTAAGTTTGAAGATTTACAGCACATTTCCAATGACAATGCAAGAAAATTACGAAGTTTTAAAAATGAAAACTGAATCCTGATGTGGTATTTAAACACATTAAATATAAAACGCAAGGAAATGGTGTTGAACTTGTTCAAAACCTTCAGCTAACATTGGAACATTGACTGCAGTTTTGGACAAGCCATTAAAGAAAAATGAAAAAGGATTGAAAATGTTTAGTGTAGAGGCACTAAATGTTATGAAGAATTAAGAGCTTTTCTACTAGAATAGTAACTTCAGAAGTTACAGTCGTTTTCATGGTAATTGAGTCAGTTAAACAGTGACCTAATACAGGCTTCCAAAATTAAAATGTTCTATTGAAGTATTAACTTTTTTCATTGTTATGTAGAGCAATGGGTGAGCATAAATTTAAGATGATCATATGCAGTAAGAATTAAAGATGAGTAGACAAATAATTAGAATGTGGAATTATTTTCCTCAAATTATCACTGACACAGAGTTTACTAATTATTTAAGAAGGGAATCCATAAACAAAAAGCAATAAAGTGAATAATTAGATAGGTGAGACTAGAACCTTAGATCAATACAACCTTCAGGTCATCTTGATAGTACCTAGTATTTGCAGGAACTTTCCAAATAGTGTCAACCCCCTTGTTTTTCCCATAACCCTGAAAATTTTCCTTTACAAGCATTTCTGCTGCACCCTATCTCTGCACTCTTTGCTTCACTCACTGCCCCTCCACTAGCCTGTTTTTGCTTCACTTGCTGCCCTCACCTCCCCATTCTTTACTTCACTTACTACCCCACTCTCAGCTTCAATCACTGCTCTGCATCACCATTGTCCATTTCACTCTCTGCCTCCTCACATCCCACTTGCCATTCCGCTCACCTCCCCACTCTTCCCTCTCCTTGTTGCCTATAATCACACAACTGTGCAACTGCAGCCCTGCTCACCACTCCTTTGCCTCCTACTTCTCTGCGTTAATCAAGCTCACGTCATTGAGCAGTTCAACACTTTGCACAGGGACCAGGGCTGTAAGTGAGGCTTTGGATGAAGCAGTGAGAACTCAAGGTATGGAAACCTAAAGAGGAAACTCAATGACTACTGCAGTAAAATGTAATACTATTTAATTGCTGTGATCTCCATAATCATTCAAATATTACTGTTGGGTAACTTTGACTACAATTGTTGTGACTGTAACAAGGTCAGCCAGGTGGACTTCATAGAATATAAGATCCCTGATTGGGGCTGTTAATCTTGTCTGGTTAGGGAGCCCTGGCTGACAGATATAAACAGTTGCGTCAGACATCCTGTTCAATCTGAGAGCTGGCTCTGAGGGAACTGGATCAGTGTCAAGGACTCTCCACGTGTGAATAAAAGATGACTTGGTGAGGGATACCGGCCACTATGGAGTTATTCCATCATAGAATATATGTCTTTGATCAGCAGAACTACAGTCTCGCGTCAAGATAAAACTGGAGTGTACTTTAACAAGAACAGTTTTGTACAGCACAAATAATTTTCTTACAAAATAGAATTAAATAAATGAATAATCCATGATCAAACTTAGTTTTCTGGGTTCAGATTAAAGAATTAAACCATTATTACTGTATTAATGTCCAGGTTTAGATCAGACAACTATATATCATGACACAACATAACTTGTAAAGTAGCACATTTATTTCATGCTGCATTCATACCTCTGGAGAAGGTTTAGTCTTCATGCAGCATTTACCTTTTTTTTAAACTAATTAAGCTCTCATTTCATTCAGTTAATCCATTCAAACCTTCAGGTGAGGTTCCATCAAATACAGATGAAGATATTTTTGATTAAATACTTTAGCCACACACCTCAACAGTTTTTTATTAGTGAACACCAACTTGAGCTTGCTATTGTCTTTGTTTCCTGTTAAAAACAATTTGTCTGATTTTCCATCTTCCATTTTGAGCAGAGAATCTGGCTTACTGTTCTGGGAAGTAAAGAAATGCAGGCATGAGTTTTTCATTTTTAACGAGTGTCACTTCACCTGTTATTGAACGTTAGTGTTTATTCAACATTACATTTAGAGTTCCTATTATAGTTGCATTATTACAAAGAACTCATTAAAGACAACTGTAAAAAAAATCATCAGCTTTTTTTCCCATATTGAATTTGGCTGACTGGGAGAACTCATGCCTCCAAGTCTGAAGATTGTGAATTACATTCCCCTTCCAAGTCTTTGGTACATAATCTCGACTTGCATTTTGGTCTGACTGATTGCAGGGATAATGATGCATTGTCAGAGATGCCATCTTGCAGGTGGTACATTAAACCAAAGTTATGTTTGCATGTTCCTATAGCAGTATTTGAAGAAAAGTAGAATTTAGCTAAAGTGTTAGCTCAAATTTCTCTGAATCAATGTCATTAAACATATTAAGTAACCATTTATCTCAAAGGATGGAGCTTGCTGTGTGTTGCCATATCACTAACATTACAATGGTGACTCTATTTCAAAAGGACTTAGTTGACTGTAAAGCATTTTGCTCCATCTTCAATCAATGAAAGGTGCATGGAATTTCTTCTTTCTTTCTGTTTTGTGTATAATTCATGATGATGATTCATATAAAGAGGCAAGCAGTCTCTCCTTACCCACCACTGAAAGAACATACCTCCTTCTGATTGACTCCTCACCCCCATAAAGGCTACGTACTGGTGAGATCCAAGTCCACTATAAATCCAAAATTATTAGGTCTATTTACTCCTTTACTGCATCCACCAAAAACTGCAGCTCTATTGTAGTCTTCTATAAAATCAGACTCTGTTTGACTATAATATGTTGCAACCTTGAACTAGAAGTGTAGGCTATCTTTAAGAAACATCCACCACATATCACTCATATAAAAAATAAACTACTAGGCATTGTTAATCACAATAAACCAAAAAGCCATGCAGGCAGGACAAATTAGTCCTGATTTGTGAATTCATGCTTCATAAAACATGAGCACCTAATGTGCACTAATTTACTGTACCATTGAATTTTTAAAATACTTATTTTATTTAATTTTTAATAGTTCTTTGCAAATTCAATCAAATGAATTACCATGGATTTAATAACAAATAAATGTAGAATGGGCTGGGGAAGGAGTTATACTTTGATGTCAAGGAAAAAATTCATTTGACAGCTTGAGCTAATGGTTGTGATGCCAACAGAAATGGATCTCTCAGGGAAACAGTTCATTATATGGGTGATTGATTTGGATGGCCACAGTCAGAATTTGAACTGTTCCTCATGTTGAATTTGTAGAGCATGTGGCTACATTTTCCTTGGCCTGTCTTCAAGCAGTTGAGCGTTGTCCAGCTTTACCATGGCAGACTGAAAACCTGAACATCAGCAGGCACGTCACTAACCAGGCTGTAGCTGGTGATATTTCCTATCAGTCAGGAGATACGCCATTGACAAATGGAGCTGTCATTAGCTTGTGGGTTACAGAAAGTGTAGAGACAATGGGAGTTCAGACAAGTTTATGGGTTTGTTTTTTAGACCTTTTATCAAAGGGGGTGCTTTGTTAGCAATCAGCTTCTGGTATTTCTTTGAGCAGGATTTTTTGTTTTGCAGGCATCAGGGGGAAGGAAAATTATAACCTTTAACTGGTGCCCTTCTTTAAGTAAGTTTTCCAACTTGAAAACCTACAAACTAATGCTGCTTAGATGGCAACCAAACATTGGCAACAGGCTCCAGATCCAAGAATTAAAAAAAAACCATTGAAAAATAGATTTAATGATATGCCATAGTATGACATGCCTAAGAGTTATATAAAATCACACAAAATTAGGAAGTTGAAAAAATGTTTTTGAACTTCTTGAACAATAGATTAAAGATCATAAAACAGAGAGTATTTACATAGGCAGGAGAGGGATGTTTAAAGCATTGAAATGACTCCCTGTTTTTGGAGTTCTGATGCACGGATGATGAAGTAAACCATGCAATGCAAAATGCTTAGCTTACATGATCCAAAAATTGGTTTATATGTTCCAGATTGTTTCAATAAGTATTCTCCGAATTTCACAGAACTGGTAGAATACCTTCAAAAAAACATTTTAGTTCCAGATGTTCACAACAGGAATAACCCCTTATAAATATGATCTAATCTAAATACTAACCTCAAAACAGAAAATGCTAGGAATGCTCAGCAGGTCAGTCAGCATCTTTAGGGAGAACTAGGTAAGCTAATGGTTCAGCTGCCGATCCTTGATGAGAATTACATACATCATGCAAACTGGGGCTTTTGTGGCACAGCGGTAGTATCATTACCCTTGGACCAGGAGGCCTGGTTCAAAACCCACCTGCTCCAGAGGTGTGTATTAACATCGCTGAACAGGTTGATCAGAAAAATAGATTAATTTTTAAAAAAAGTCTATTTATCCCCTTCCATCTCTGCCTGCCTTTCCCTCACTTTTGATTATCTGCATTATCCGTAATGGGCTTTGCATGTAAATATATTTATTTGGCTTCATGGGTGATTTACTGGTGATGGTTAGTAGTTAAAAATAAAAAAAGAACAGACCCATAGGGGTCTTATGTGGCAGTGGTAGCATCCCTACCCCTGAGCCCGGAGGCCTAGTTTCAAGTCTAACCTGCTCCAGTGGTTTGTCTGAACTGGTTGATTAAGAAAAATCTATTAAGCAGATCCACAGGGCTCTCATGGCACAGTGGTGGTGTCCATGCCTCAAGGAGGACCAGATTCAAATTCCATCTGCTCCAAAAAAAATCATAGTGGCTACACAAGTAATTTACTGCAGGTGGTTAATTGTTAATAACAAAAAGAAATCACGGTGATTTAGTGATGGGGAAAAAATCCATTCAGTTGTGGGGGTGATAGCACTTCCAGATATAAAGTAGTACATTTATAGGGGCTCTTGTGGCAGAGTGTTAGCGCCCCTACCTCTGAGCCAGGAAACCCAGTACCTGTTCCAAAGGTGTGTAATAACATTACAGAACACATTCATGAGAAAATATATAAAAGTATCTTTATTATCAATCGATAGAAACGTAGAAACATAGAAGATAGGAGGAGGCCAGTCAACCCTTTGAGCCTGCTCTGACATTCATCACAATCATGGCTGATCATCAAACTTATAAGCCTAATCCTGCTTTCTCCCCATAAACTTTTCACCCCAAGTGCTATATCTAGCTGCCTCTTGGATACATTCAATGTTTTGGCATAAACTACTTCCTGTGGTAGCGAATTCCACAGGCTCACCACTCTTTGGTTGAAGAAATGTCTCCTCATCTCCATCCTAAATGGTCTATCCTGAATCCTTACACTGTGACCCCCAGTTCTGGACACACCCAACATCAGGAACATTCTCCCTGCATCTACCCTGTCTGGTCCTATTAGAATTTTATAATTCTCTGTGAGATTCCCCCTCATTCATCTGAACTCCAGCAAAAACAATCCTAACCTAGTCAATCTCTCCTCATACGTTAGCCCCGCCATCCCCAGAATCAGCCTAGTAAACCTTTTCTGCATTCCCTCGAGAGGAAGAGCATCCTTCCTCAGAAAAAGAGACCAAAGCTCCACACAATATTCTAGGTGTGGCCTCACCAAAGCCCTGTATAACTGCAACAACACATCACTGCTCTTGTACTCGAAACCTCTTGCAATGAAGGCCAACATGCCATTTGCCTTCTTTACCACCTGCTGCACCTGCATGCTTACCGTCAGCGACTGGTGCACAAGGACACCCAGGTCCCTCTTCCAATTTACAGCCATTCAGGTAGTAATCTGCCTTCTTGTTTTTGCTTCCAAAGTGAATAACCTCATATTTATCCAAATTATACTGCACCTGCCATTGATTTGCCCAGTCACCCAATCTGTCCAGATCATACTGAAGGACCTTTACATCCTCGTCACAGTTCACCCTCCCACCTAACTTGGTATCATGTGCAAACTTTGAAATGTTACATTTTGTTCCCTCATCCAAATTATTAATATATATTGTGAATAGCTGGGGTCCCAGCACCGATCTCTGTGGCACCCCACTAGTTACTGCCTGCCAGCTTAAAAAAGGCCTTTAATTCCAAGTCTTTGTTTCCTCTCTGCCAAACAGTTTTCTATCCATCTCAGTACACTTCCCCCAAAGCCATGCACTTTAATCTCGCACAATAATCTCTTATGCGGGATTTTATCAAATGCTTTCTGAAAGTCTAAATGTACCACATTGATTGCTCCCCTTTGTCAACTCTACTAATTAAATCTTCATAGAATTCCAACAGATTTGTCAAGCATGATTTCCCCTTCATAAATCCATGCTGACGCTGTCTGATCCTACCACTGCTTTTTAAATGCTCTGCTATAAAGTCATTGATAATGGATTCGAGAATTTTCCCCATTACCGATGTCAGGCTTCCTGGCCTATTATTCCCTGTTTTCTCTCTACCTCCCTTGTTGAATATCGGAGTGACATTCGCTACTCTCCAATCAGCAGGGAGTGTTCCAGAGTCTATAGAAGCCTGGAAGATGACCACCAATGCATCTACTTTTCCTACAGCCACTTCCTTAAGTACTCTAAGATGTAGATTATCAGGCCCTGAGGATTTATCTGCCTTCAATCCCATCAATTTTTCCAGCACCATTTCTCTACTAATATTGATCTCCCTCAATTCTTCTCTCTCACTAAATCTTGCATTCTCCAACATTTCTGGTATCTGATTTGTGTCTTCTTTTGTGATGACAGAATCAAAGTATATATTCAGTTGCTCAGCTATTTCTTTGTCCCCTATTATACATTCCCCTGTTTCTGTCTGCAGGGGACCTATATTTGTCATCACCAATCCCTTTTTCTTCATTTACCTATAGAAACTCTTAGTGTCAGTCTTTATGTTACCTGCAAGCTTTCTTTCGTACTGTATTTCGTACCCTTCTTAATCAATCCCTTGGTCCTTCTTTGCTGGATTCTAAACTGTTCTCAGTCCACAGACATACTATTTTTGTTGGACAATCTGAATGCTTCTTCCTTGGATCACATACTACCTCTAATTTCCTCTGTAAGCCATGGACTGCCCTCCTTAATCGTTTTGCTTTTGTGCCAGACAGGAATAAACAGTTGCTGCAGATCATCCCTTTAAGTAACTCTCCCTACTCTATCTAGGCCAACTCACTCCTCATATCTTCATAGTTTTCTTTATTAAGATTTAGCATCCTAGTTTCCAAATCAACTACCTCACTCTCCATCTTGATAAAAAATTCTACCCTGTTATGGTCACTCACCCCCAAGGGGTCTTGCAGAGCTAGACTGGCAATGATTCTCTTCTCATTGCACAGTACCCAGTCTAAGATGGCCTGCTCTCTCCACACATTGGTCAAGAAAACCATTCCATATACGGTCCAGGAATTCCTCCTCTACAGCATTGTGGCTAATTTGATTTGCCCAATCTATGTGCAGATTAAAATCACCCATGATCACTGATATTGCCTTATCACATGCATCTCTAATTTCCTGTTTAATGCCGTTCCCAACATCACCACTGCAGTTTGAGAGTCTATATATGACACCCACAAATGTTTTTTTGCCCCTTGATATTTCTCAACTCTACCAATACAGACTCCACATTGTCCGAGCTAATATCCTTTCTCACTGTTGGGTCAATTTCCTCTTTGGCCAGCAATACCACTCCACCACCTTTTCCTTTTTGCCTGTCCTTCCTAAATTTTGAATACCCTAGGACATTCAGCTCCCCTTCCAGGTCGCCCTGCAGCCGTGTCTCCAAAATCCCAATTATATTGTACCCGTTTACATCTTTCTGCGCAATTAGTTCATCCACTTTACTGCAAATGCTCCGCACATTAAGGCACAAAGCCTTTAAGCTAGTCTTTTTAACATTGTTTATCTCGCTCTTATTTTTCTCAATAGCCCTGTTTGAATTTTGTTCTTGGTTTCTCTGCCTGTCACTTTTCTTATTCCCTTTTCTACCTTTTGGCTTTGTCATTGCTCCCTCCTTCTCTGACTCCTTACATAGGTTCCCATCCCCCCCGCACATTAGTTTAAACCTTCCTCAACCGCTCTAGCAAACACTCCTCCTTGGACATCAGTTCCAGCCCTGCCCAGGTGTAACCTGTCCAATTCATACAGGTCCCACCAACCCCAGAACCAGTCCCAATGCCCCAGGAATCTGAAACTGCCCCCCGACACCATCTTTTCAGCCACGTATTCATCTGATATATCCTGTTATTTCTACTGTGACTAGCATGCAGCACCAGTAGTAATCCTGAGATCACTACCTTTGAGGTCCAATTTCTTAACTTTCTTCCTAGTTCCCTGTATTCTGCTTTTAGGACCTCATCCTTTTTTTAACCTATGCTATTTGTACCGATGTGTACCACGACCACTGGCTATTCACCCTCCCCTTCCAGAACATCTTGTACCTGCTCTGAGACATCCTTGACCCTCGCACCAGGGAGGCAACATACCATCCTGGAGTCTCATTTGCAGCTGTCTATTCCCCTACAAGTCGCCTACAACAATTGCTCTGGCACACTTCTTACCCCTGCCCTTTGCAGCAGAACCAACCATGGTGTAACATTAGGCTGCTGCTGCTTTCCCCTGAAGGGTCATTCCCCACAACAGTATCCAAAACGGTACATCTGGTTTGCAGGGGATGGCCACAGGAGATTGCTGCATTAGCTGCCTATCTCTCTTGCTCTGTCTGGTGGTCCCCATTCCCTTCCTGCCTGCAATGTGACCACCTCTGTCTACGTGCTACCCATGATACGCTCTGCTTTGTGGATGCTCCACAGTGTCCCCATTGCCGTTCCACCTCTGAAACTTGAGCTTCCAGGAGCTGTAGCTGGAGACACTTCCTGCACACATGCTGATCCGGGCGACTGGAAATGTCCCTGCCTGCCACATGGAGCAAGAGGAACAAACTGAGATGCTCGTTTAAATTGAGCTTTTAAATAGCCAAAAGCCATATGAAGAGGAATGGAGGAAAGTGGCACCATTGTTTGGGTTCTTAGCTTGTACTAAAGAAAATTCATTGGAAATTTTGATTCTAGTGTCTAATCCAAATTAAGTACATTGCACAGAAACTTTGAAACCGAAATAAATTATAAAATGTCTTACAAATCATTGCATTAAGAATTAAAAGAAGCCATTGATAATGGAGTTACATTTTCAAAGAATCACCCTACCTTATATTTCCATTTCACTTCAGCTTTGCTTTTGTTCTGCTCTTGTATTCCAAATTTTACTACATCATTTTGATTGTTAACACTTTCTCTGCCAGCCACAGTTAACATATTTTTTGAAGCCTATGGGAAGAAAAAGAATTTTATGTAGCATGAAAAGCTAAAAAATGTGAAGAAAGAAGTGGAATATTAACCCAACAATGACAACCAATGCTTAAAATACACAGGGCGATAGGCGAATCTACTGGAAATCGCGAAGGAAAATCCACTTACAGAGACACACAATCAGAGAACAGACACCCCATTAAATAGAATAGAAGGAAATGATAAGAAACTGCTCCTGCAATCACAGGTCCATTCCCACTCATGCTTCTTCCTGATAGGAAGCCTATTAGCTGTGATCTCGCCAGTATATGGAGGATGTGTTTAGTGTAAGTAGAAATCCTTTTGTAGAGGTATGCATCAACTATTTTGGAAAACAAATTGTTAACTTATGCCTGTTGTCTTGTACCAATTTAAGTACTGTGGCATTTAGGAAATTAATGCCTTCCTCTATGTCAATGTATTAAGCAGCGGGATTGGGTACACAGATTTTGTACAAGTCCAAACATTTTAGCATAGTAACAGTAAAATTAAAGTTTCAAACATGTGTTCAGTTACTGCACTAAACAGTGTACTTTAACAATGGTGCCATGGCATGTTTTCACGTTTTGGCAAAAAATGCTGCAATAACTTTGGGACTGTTTCCAAAGTGATATAAATAAATATTTTAGTTGGTCAATAAAAATAGCAGCTTGAAAGTGAACGAAATAATAAAAGTACCAACACTCACATCTCTATTGTGAGGAGAATAGAATTGTTTTGAGAATAATGGCTTTTCTGTGTCTCCCATTAGAAATGTATTGTTGCCAGCTGTCTGTTTCTGGCAGAGGTTTAGCCTTTACAGTTTCTATATGTACTATTCACATTGACTACTGAAGGCGATCCATAACCATTAGCTGCAAGTTAGATCATGGGCAAATTTGAAAAATAATATTTTGTTGCCCCTGATGTAAACAGTACAAACTGGGCTGGAAATAGTTCCAAGGTAAAAGAGAATAGAAGAAAAAATTGCAGTTATAGTACCGCCTTTCATGGCTACTGAAAATTCCAAAATGCTTCACAGCTAATGAAGAACTTTTGAAGTACAATCAATGTTGAAAAGTAGAAAACACAACAATTAATTGTGTAGCACAAGCTCCTAAACTAGTGCAATGGGTTATAATAACCAGATAAACTGCTTTGCGATGGGGATTGAGAGTTTTTCTGTTATTCAGTCATGGAACAGGGGCTTTACCGGCTGGGCCAGCATTTATTCCTCATCCCTAATTACCCATGAGAAAGTAGTGGGGAGCTGACTTATTGAACCTCTGAAGTAGGTACACCTTACAATCCTATTAGATTTGGAGTTTCAGAATTTGACACAGCAACACTGAAGAAATGGTGATATATTTCCAAGCAGGACAGTGACTTGGAGGGAACCTGCCGATGGTGGTGTTCTCACGTTTATCCTCAGACACGGACTGCTCCAGTATCTGAGAAGTACCTGGTGAATGGTGCTAAGTGTTGCGCAACCAATGATTAGCAAAATGCCCTACTTCTCAACTTATGATGGAGGGATGGTCATCAGTGAAACAGCTGAAGCTGCTTGGGTCAAAGACAGTACACTGAGGAACTCCTGCAGAGATGTCCTGGAGCTGAGGTGACTGACTTCCAACAGCCACAACCAACTTCCTTCATTCTAGATATGACTCCAACCAGCAGAAAGTTCTTCTCTTGATTCCCATTGACTCTACTTTTTCTGTGGCTCCTTAACGGCACACTCAATCAAATACAGCTTTGATGTCAAGAGTATCTAGCCTCACATTAGCTCTTTGGTCCCTGTTCAAACCAAGATTGTAATTAGGTCAGGAGCTAAGTGGCCCTGATGAAACCCAAACGGAGTGCCAGAGAGCTGGTTATTCCTAATATCAAGCTGGTTATCAAGAGTAGACTGACGGAGAGGTAAATGACCAGGTTTGATTTGTCCTGCATTTAGTGTATAGGCATACCAGAGCAATTTTCAATATTGTTGGGTATCTTGCTCATAATATAACTGTTCTGGAACAGCTTGGCTAAGGGTGTGGCAAGTTCTAAAGCACAAGTCTCTGCTAGTATTGTCGGAATGTTGTCATGGCCTACAGCTTTTGCAGTATCCAGTGCCTTCAGCTGTTCTTTGATATCACAGGGAATGAACTGTATTAGCTCAAGACTGGCATCTGTGATGCTGGGACCTTTGGAGGAGCCTGAGATAGAGCATCCACTCCACACCTCTGGCTGAAAGATTGCTACAAATGCTCCAGCCTTACCTTTGGAATAAACCGAGTCAAGGTGTTTTGGATAGTGGGGTTTCTGTACCCACCAACAGAAGGCTCAGTGGGGAATTCAACTTTATCAGTGCTGTCTTCCCTGCAGTCATTTAACTTTCGAGGAATATTAAATAGTTGCAGTTAACAGTTAACAGGAGAGGGAACTTCTGCTTCTGATTCAGGAGGACATTTCACCTCAGCAACCTGCCAGCCATCTCAATGACTGACAGCTCCAAAGCCCCAACAGCACTACTGGAGTGTGGCTCTTACTAGAACTACAAGCAGCCCCATAAGTCAAAGATAACAAGGTGTAGAGCTGGATGAACACAGCAGGCCAAGCAGCATCAGAGGAGCAGGAAGGCTGATATTTTGGGCCTAGACCCTTCTTCAGAAATGGGAGAGGGGAAGGGGATTCTGAAATAAATAGGGAGAGAGGGGGAGATGGATAGAAGACGGATAGAGGAGAAGATAGGTGGAGAGGAGACAGACAGGTCAAAGAGGTGGGGATGGAGCCAATAAAGGTGAGTGTAGGTGGGGAGATAGGGAGGAGATAGGTCAGTCCAGCGAGGACGGACAGGTCAAGGGGGCAGGATGAGGTTAGTAGGTAGGAGATGGGGGTGGGGCTTGAGGTGGGAGGAGGGGATAGGTGGGAGGAAGGACAGGTTAGGGAGGCGGGGACGAGCTGGGCTGGTTTTGGGATGCGGTAGGGGGAGGGGAGATTTTGAAGCTTGTGAAGTCCACATTGATACCATTGGGCTGCAGGGTTCCTAAGCGGAATATGAGTTACTGTTCCTGCAACCTTCAGGTGGCATCATTGTGGCACTGCAGGAGGCCCAGGATGGACATGTCGTCTGAGGAATGGGAGGGGGAGTTGAAATGGTTCGCAACTAGGAGGTGCAGTTGTTTAGTGCGAACCGAGCATAGGTGTTCTGCAAAGCAGTCCCCAATTCTCCGCTTGGTTTCCCCGATGTAGAGGAGGCCACAACGGGAACAGCGGATGCAGTATACCACATTAGCAGATGTGCAGGTGAACACCTGCTTGATGTGGAAAGTCTTCTTGGGACCTGGGATGGGGGTGAGGGGAGAGGTGTAGGGGCAGGTGTAGCACTTCCTACGGTTGCAGGGAAAAGTGCCGGGTGTGGTGGGGCTGGAGGGAAGTATGGAGTGGACAAGGGAGTCACGGAGAGAGTGGTCCCTCCGGAAAGCAGATAAGGGTGGGGAGGGAAAAATCTCTTTGGTGGTGGGGTCGGATTGCAGATGGCAGAAGTGTCGGAGGATGATGTGTTGAATCTGGAGGTTGGTGGGGTGGTACGTGAGGACAAGGGGGATTCTGTTTTCGTTGTTATTGCGGGGAGGCGGTGTGAGGGATGAGTTGCGGGAAATGCGGGAGACACGGTCGAGGGCGTTCTCGACCACTGACGGGGGGATGTTGCAGTCCTTGAAAAATGAGGACATCTGAGATGTACTGCAGTGGAATGCCTCATCCTGGGAGCAGATGCGGTGGAGGCAAAGGAATTGGGAATAGGGGGTGGTGTTTTTGCAGGAAGGTGGGTGGGAGGAGGTGTATTCTAGGTAGCTGTGGGAGTCGGTGGGTTTGAAATGGATATCGGTTTCTAGGTGGCTGCCAGAGATGGAGACAGAGAGGTCCAGGAAGGAGAGAGAGGTATTAGAGATGGTCCAGGTGAACTTAAGGTTGGGGTGGAAGGTGTTGGTGAAGTGGATGAACTGTTCGAGCTCCTCGTGGGATATGTCAAAGTTCAGTGTCTCGGAGCAAGGGCTGTGGGTGATGGGGCGGTGATGGGGCAAGGATGGGGGGTGCTGCAAGACCAGGCAGGGAGTCTGCCTAATTTGTAAAGGGGCTGAGTGATTGGAGGGCAATGCCTCTTTTTTCAACCTCAGGCCAAAGCACGATGACGTGCTGGATTCTCATTTCAAGTCCCCAATCTCCTCCCGCCAGCCCAAAAATAGTGACTAGGCAGGTAGAAGCCTTCATTCAGTAAATAAAGGCATTGAATAGGGTGAGAGTGGGAGAGCCAACTCAGGCCTTATCCCCCACTTCCCTTAAAATTGCAGAAAGGTCAGGGACAGGTGAGACAGCCCTTCAGGAAGGCCATCTAGGAACTTTTATGGGTTCCCCGCCCACTACCATAACTAGAGAGGACAGTAAAATTCAACCCCTGAAAGATCTTATTGCTTCATGACCCAAATAAATAAGAACAGATTTAATTATATTTGCATGCAAATACTATTTCTTGTGCATCAGGATATTAGAGCACAAAAAGCAATTTCTAGCAGTTTCTGTTAATATTTCAGCTCTCTAAAATACTGAGGAGATCATGCAAAAGAAAATGTTCTTCACATATATTGCCTGACCTGCTGGATATTTCCAGCTCTTTCTGTTAAGAATACAGAACATCTGCTTAACTTTAAACCATGTTGCACAAAGGAACTGAATATATTTCAACTATTACATTTTCATCGGAATTTGCATTACTCTATTTACGAAGCGCCGAGTGATAGACAGACGAATTAACTTTCACAATACAGGAAATAAAACTCACCTTTCCCCCTTTCTTTGGCACTTCAGTTTTAATTAAAGCCTCCTTTGTGTGTGCCTCAAGAATGTCAAGGTTTGGAACTAATACTGTACTTTCTTTTTCTTTCTTCCCTTTCTTCTTTCCTCCTTCTTTGGCCCGTGAAGCTTTCTTTTTTTCTGGCTTTTCAATAGATGCTGTTCCTGTATGTGCTGGCAGTTTGGCAGGTACAGCAGGACTTTTGGCTGTACTGATAATATCACTCACCTCACTTTCATTTGTTTTAAGTGCACTCTGTAAGAAGGTAAATATTTGAAAATGTAATCTAATCTGTAATTCACTGACAGTAATATTGACACCAAGCTGAAAAACAATTATTCTGCTCCACAACTTGCCCAGAATGAGTTATTATTGAATATCTAACAGCAAACGAAGACTTAATGCCTTATGTGGCATAAATTCTGATCATCGATAAACTATTTCCTTAAAATATCGTGTAATTTTTAGTTATGCTTTGTGAATTTCATTTTAAATTCATTTTAATGTTCTATCATGCATGGATAAAAAAAATTCAAAATCAAAATGGGAAAATTTGTTTTTGTATGACCTTAATTTGAATTCCAAATACCTTCTATTCAAAATATTTATTTAAGTATTAATGAAAAAAGACATTTTGTTGAAGTATTTCATCTTGGAACAATTCCAACTTTGGACTGTCAATCAGGGTCACAGTGTGGCATGCTTGTGAGTACTAGAAGTTAATTATTAATATACAGGATGCTGGCTTTTGAAGACAGAATGAAAATGTACACAAATTGAGTCTGTTTCAACTCAACAAAACAAATGACAGCCATTGCCAGTTCATTTCTCAGAGCAATATCTTGACCAATCAGAGTCAACCTGCCTGGTTTAAAAACTTAAACAAAGCCTAGCAGTTAACAATCAATCATCATTATTTGGTTCATTCGCCATGGCAAAACCTCAACTAATCAGAGTCCATTTGCCAACCAATCAGCTCTCTCCTCTCATGCAGTGTAAATGTTGATTTTCCCCCTAAATTGGTATTTCTTACATATTGTCCTGTTAAGTACAAGACAAAATGCTTCCAACAAAATGTGTCTTTTTTCAGCAATACTCAGGTTTTGTATTGTAAAAAAAATTATCTGTATTTAACTTAAATTTATTTCTGTAACATCTACTAAATTTTCAGTCTAACTAAAATGAGTACTATGTATTAAAAATACTCATCCGTAACCAAAGTGTTCAGATATCATACATACAACTAGAGGGGGCTCTTGAGGTACAGTGGTAGTGTTCCTACTTCTGAGCCAGAAGACTCAGTTTCAAGTCCCACCTGGTCCACAGGTGTGTAATCTCTGAACAAATTGATTAAAAATACCTACATATAACTTGAAGTGTTTTATATAAAGCTGCAGTACCTTATAGAAAACATTGATGTTTTCACATTATTTATTGGAATGGCATTTATGTTTCTACCATGCAAAAATATAGAGTCTGAAAACACAGCAATATTACAGAACACATTTTTAGAATATTTACTGAGACTCCACCTACTTTTCTTTTGGCAACAGAAATATTTCATCCCTGTACAGTGTATCCCTGTAAGGGTCTAGCAGTGCAAAGACGTCTAGATGTTCCAGTGATGCTGCAGAAAACATCCTCAGGAACTGATGAGTCTGAATCTTCCAGGTAATAATGTATAAAAAGAACGACATCACTGATGATCTACAATGAGGGATGCTTAATCAAATTTTCTTCTTTTTCGCCTTTTTTTCAAATATTCACATTTTTAACAATTTTGCGCCAGTTATGAACTACATCTAGCAAAAAATTAAACTTAAAATATTATAAGTTTCTATGAAATACTGCAGCTTTAACCCCTAGAAGGGTATTTTATGGACATAACTTAAAATTCATTTGACTTTGCTGGAAAAAATTATGTTTTAGTGAATTCCATTCATTTTCATTAAACAATCTCACAACAAAATATTTACTTTTTTAAAGTAAGAAACTTATTAAAACTACACTTACTGAGCAAAGAAAAATCTTAGTATAAAAAGTAACTAAAAAAAAGAACATTAGGAAGTTTCTATCATTAATTAGTATCTTTAGTCTTTAATGCATACAAGAAATAAAATATTGCAGCCGATTACAGGAAAAAACCTACCTCTGCTATTCGTATCTCTTTGGCAAATTCTTTAATAAGTTGTGCTGTTTTAATAGTTTCTGGAATCTCATCTTCATGATCAGCTATAACCTTAAATAAAAATATTATGAAATAGGTCAATAATTGATAAATATTAATTGCAGCTAATGGAGAGGACTGACAATAATCCTGCTGACCAGGAAGTGTCATCATTCACTAATGATTGAGAATGTGCAAAGTTATTTTGTGCTTTTGTGGTTTGTGTCAGAAAGCAATTTCTAAAGTGACCTTTGTAGGAAAAAAAAGGATATAGACTTGAAAGAGAAAATTTGCAGCTCTAAACTGCTCTTTTAACTGCACAAAGTCAAAATGTATCTGGAACTATTTTCAGGGCCAGAATTTGTGGTGTGCAGGCAGTGCCAAGGTACTGAAACAAAAACAGAAGTTGCTGGAAAAGCTCAGCAGGTCTGGCAGCATTTGTGAGGGAAAAATCAGAGTTAATGTTTCAGGTCCGGTGACCCTTCCTCAGAACAGGACCCAAAACGTTAACTCTGATTTTCCTTCATGGATGCTGCCAGATCTGCTGAGCTTTTCCAGTAACATCTGTTTTTGTTCCTGATTTACAGCATCCGCAGTTCTTTTGGTTTTTATTTCCAAAGTACTGAAACTTGGTTTTTAGGCTTTATCTAAACAGTTCATGTCATTTTCTGTCTCTTGCCATGCTTCAATAAGTCACTTGCTCTTCAGATGTTTTGAACAAATGAATAAACAAACAAAAAGTACAGCACAGGAACAGGCCCTTCGGCCCTCAAAGTCTGTGCTGACCATCATGCCCCAATTAATCTAAAAACAAATGTGCTATTTTTCAATCCGTATCCCTCTCTTCCCTCTCTATTCATGTACCCATCAAGGTGCCTCTTAAATGTTGTCAATGTGCCTGCTTCCACCACCTCTTCTGGTTGTGCATTCCAGGTTGCTACCACTCTCTGCATGAAAAACTTCCCTCGCACATTTCCCGTAAACTTTCCCCCTCTGATCTTGAACCTGTGCCCCCTTGTAATTGAAACTTCAACCCTGGGAAAAAGCCTCTGACTATCCACCCTATCTATGCCTCTCATACTTTTGTCGACCTCTGGTCTCCTCTCAGCCACCGTCTTTTCAGTGAAAACAATCCCAGCCTTTTTAACCTTTCCTCATAGTCAATGCCCTGGAGACCAGGCAACATCCTGGTGAACATTCTCTACTCTGTCCAAAGCTTCCACATCCTTCTTGTAGTGTGGTGACCAAAACTGCACACAATACTCCAAATACGGCCTAACAAGAGTTTTATATAGCTGCAACATGTTTTGCCAATTCTTGTACTCTACACTCCGGGCGTGTTTGAATCTTTGGCTAGCACCAGAACTTAGGTAAGTCCCAATTGGAAAGTCAGCAAGGTAAGGCTAGTTGGTTATTTCTGGTGGTTTCTCAAGGATCACCTCCTTGCTCAACATTAAAAATAATTATAAATTTCACTTAACCTTTTGGAGATAGCAGGCCACATACCTGACCTGCTGGGGCACTCTAATTTCTGAGGCAATCTAAAAAGATGCAGCATGTTCCTAAGAAGTATAGGTCAATGGGCTTAACATCTATGTCATTTTGCTCTCTGAATGCCTGGAATCCACACAGACCATACAAGCAGGGAGTACAAATGTACAAAATTGGTCAATTTGGTCTGTATTCTACAACTACAATACTTCCCCACAATTACAATAAGACAGTACCTGTTTCTTGGTCCATGCCCTGAAAGCACCATTTAGAGCTTTCGCTCCTAGTACCAGATAGGTTGGAGGCTGCTTCCCAGATTTGTGCAAACCTAATGGAAATCAAGGAAGGAATAATGTAATATTAAAATCAATCACAAATACAGCATTAGACAAATGTTATTGGGTTGGGTAAAAATGTTTGACATGATTCACTTTACCTTTGAATGTCTCAAGCAGATATTTGCCAACATACCAACATATAACTTCAAAGTTTGAAAATTTGATAAGACTACAAATTTTCAATCGTTTTTCCACTTCATAGGCTCTGTAAAATACAAAATGATACTTCGATAAATGATCAGTGTGATCCAGATTTATATTATGGCCCAATTTTTGGGGTTAATCATAACTGAGGTCAGTGCTCAATTAGGTAGAAATTTCTGGAGTTCTTCATGATTACAGTTACATACAGAAATATGGGCATTGCTATTTGATTACCCTCCAAATGTTGCACTGCATTAGAACCTTGCAGAGAGACTTAGCATTAAAGTTCATGTATGAACAGTAAGTTCTTGGACCCATCCACCAGTTACCCTTTAAACACACCAAAACAAGTTAGGGCTAGTGTATTAAGGTACAGTGAATTCTTCATTCTTCAGTAAATCTTAATTACTGCCAAACAATCTCTCTGGCAATGGAAATTTAATTTCCTATAGGTGAAGTTAATTATTATTAGATATATTTTAAATTATTTTTGTCTGTGCCAATTATATCTCCAACACATCCTTCTTTGCCTCTACTTTGCTTTCTGTATATGGTTTTACAGTAATTAAATATTTTAATTCACCTCTCATGGTTTAAATCCTCTGGGTGAATAATTAAATGACCCTAGAGCCAGGGCTGATGACCCACTAATCTGCTATTTCCACCAGAGGTTCTGTGCAAATCTACAGCATGTTCCTGTATCCAGGACACTTTTGACAAGCCTGGTTGGAAACAGGCAGTAATTATGCCCCTTAAAAGGCTCACTGAAGTTAATGTGCAGATACTGACGGCAATCGAGCCCCCGCTAAGGTAGAGGAGGACTGCAGTCAGCATCATGTTTGCAATGCCTCACCTAATGAGCATTATGGTTTACTGGCATTTTCCTGCCCTTTCTCCATACTCTTGCACATTGTCTCTTGCATATCTATTCAAATAATCATCCGATGCCCTCTTGAATACCTCAATTGAATATGCCTCCATCACACCTCAAGGCAGCATATTCTAGATCCAAACCATTCATTGTGTAAGTTTTTTCTCAGATCGTATTACAAATCACCTTAAATCTGAGGTGTCTCATTTCTGCCTATTTACTCTGTCCAAACTCCCCATGGTTTTGAAAACTTCTATCAGACCTCCTCTTAGGCTCTTCTCTCCAGGGAGAACAGTTCCAACATCTCCAATCTATCCTCAGAGCTGAAGGTTCGGAACCTGGAACCATCATTATAAATCTATTCTGCGCTGTCTTCAATGTGTTACATTCTTCCTATAGTGTGATATTGCACACAATACTCTAGCTGAATTCTAACAACTATTTTTATAACTTCAGCATAACCCTCTTGCTGTTGTCCCTCTTAATTAATGTCCCCACTAATAAAGCCCAGAATATTGTATGTTTATTAACTGCTATCTCTAGCTGCACTGCCACCTTCAATGATCCGTGCACATATATACCCCAGTCCCGCTGCTCCTGCACTACCTAAATTGCCGTACCCTTAGTTTATGCATGACATTACACTCGTCTTAAACTTCATCTGGTACCTATCTGCCCACTCTACTAACTTCTCTATTTTCCTTTGAAGTTTACAATGCTTCCAAGTTTCATACCATTCGTAAATTTTGAAACTGTCCCCTGCATACCAAGATCTAGATATAACAGCAAAAGCACGAGTCCCCTGAGGAACTCCAGTACAAACCTTCTTCCAGCCTGAAAAAAAATGTACTGACCATGTTTCTTATTTTGTATCCATGTTGCTGCTGTCCCTTTTGAAATAACTCCACAGAGGCCAGTATCGTGTCACCAAGCCACCCTTTATTTACGCGTGAACAGTCCTTGACTTTAGTGCTACCCTATTCAGAGTCAACTATCAGATTGGCAGTGTCTCTGACACCCCCCTTTTTATCTGTCAGCCAGGGCTCCCTGATTGGACGAGATTAACAGCCCCAATCAGGGAACTCATATTCTAGCTGACCTTGTAACAATCACTACAACCCTGCCCCTCTGAGTCTGAGGAAATAGGCCAATCCTTTCCTTTGAGAGCTTCTCGGTGCATTTTAGCACTGGGTCAGGTTCCTCCAGCTCAGCTCCCGATATGGGTGGCACGGAATGCACAGGAGCTCACCTCTTGCACCAGGTGCACCTCCGTAGAATTCACTCCTTTCTTCTGGTGGCAAAGGCATTGAGGTGGCTACATCTCTCATCCATCTCCGATTCTGAGGACTTATCAATGCTTTATGGAGAGGGTGAACCCTCAGGTTCTGGTAGCATTTCTGACAGTTCTGAGGGGCAGGGTACATTGTGCTCCCACACCATTTGTGAATTTACAGCTTTCATATGGTCTATGTACTTGTTCAGGACTGTCACACCTACCCAAACTTTATATGTCATTGGTCCTGACCTCACATTGACCATACCTCTTACCAGAGCAGGGCCATTTCCATGATTTTTACACCAAACTTCGTCCCCTTTTCAAACTATGTCTCTCGCTTGGTAGTGTCTTGTTTCCAGCAATGGCATTCCTGGTGCAGTTTCACCCTCCCATCCAGGTCCAGGAAGATTAGATTTAACCTGGTGCAGAGTCTTCGCCCCATTAGTAATCTGCTGGAGATATCCCTGTAATTGCATGTGGGATGGTCCTATAATCAAACAAGAACCTTGACAACTTGGTATCTAGCAAGGCTGTAAGCTGTGTCTTCAAGCCAGCTTCAAAGTTTAGCTTGGTCTTTCTGCCAGGCCGTTGGATGATGGGTGGCATGGAACTGTACTTATATATCTAATCTTATTCAACTTTAGGAAATAACTAAAATCCTAGCTGGTAAATGATGATTATCTGTAACAAACACTTTCAGGATTCTGTATATTGAAAAAGATGCATGCAGTTTTTCTATCACGTCCTTATGTTTGACAAATGGACCATATGCATGTGCAACCATTTTGAATGGATATCTACAATACCAAGAACATTGAATCAATGAATGAAACACAGAAACATATTAAATAGGGGCAGGAGTAGGCCATTCGGCCCTTTGCGTCTGCAACACCATTCAATACGATCACGGCTGATCATGCAATCTTAGTATCCGATTCCTGCCCTCTCCCCATACCCCTTGATCTCTTTAGCCTCACAGGCCACGTCCAGCTCCCTCTTGAATATACCTATTGAACTGGCCCCAACAGCTTTCAGTGGGAGAGAATTTCACAGGTTTACAATTCTGAGTGAAGAAATTTTTCCTCATCTTAACCCTGAATGGCTTACCCCTTATTCTTAGACTGTGACCCCTTGTTCTGGACTTGCCCAACATTGGGAACATTCTTCCCGCATCAGGATTTTATATGTTTCTACGAGATCTCCCCTCAATCATCCAAATTCCAGCGAATACAAGCTCAGTCAATCCAGTTTTTCCTCACATGTCAGTCCTGCCATCCTGAGAATCAGTCTGGTGAACCTTTGCTGGACTCTCGCAATAGCAAGAATGTCATTCCATGGAACAGGAGACCAAAACTGCACACAATAATCAAGGTGTGGCCTCACCAAGGTCCTGTATTACTGCAGCAAGATATCCTTACTCCGATACTCAAATTCTCTCGCTATGAAGGACAGGATGTTATTAGCTTTCCTCACTGCCTGCTGTACCTGCATGCCAACCTTCAACAATTGTTCCACCATGACACCCAGGTCTCATTGCACCTCACCTTTTCCTAAGCTGCCACCATTCAGATAATAATCTGCCTTCCTGTTTTCGTGACCAAAGTGGATAACCTCACATTTATCCACATTGTATTGCATTTGCAAAGTATTTGCCCAATCAGCCAGCCAGTTGAGTCACATTGCAGCTTTTTAGCATTCTCTTCACAGAAGACACTGCCACCCAGCTCAGTGTCATCTGCAAATTTGGAGATATGGCATTCAATTCCTCTATCCAAATCGTTAATTTATTGTGAACAGCTGAGGTCCCAGCACTGAACTCTGCAGCACCCCAGTCATCATTGCCTGCCACTCTAAAAGGGACCCATTTTTCCCAACTCCCCGTCTGCCAGCCAGTTCTCTATCCATGTCAATACATTAATTCTGATACCACAAGTTTTAATTTTCCTTACTAATCTCTTGTGTGGAAACTTGACAAAAGCCTTTTGAAAGTCCAGATGCATAATATCTACTGATTCGCCACTGTCTACTCTACTGGTCATATCCTCAAGTATGATTTCCCTTTAGTGAATCCATGCTGACTGGGACCGATTCTGTCCCCGCTTGCCAAATGGTCAGTTATCACATCCATAATGACTGACTCCAGCATTTTCCCCACCACCGCTATCAGGCTAAGCGACCTGTAATTCCCCATTTTCTCTCTCCCTTCTTTTTTAAAGAGTGCAGTTACATTAACTACTTTCGAGTAAATTGGAGATTTTCCAGAGTCTACAGAATGCTGGAAAATGATCATTATTGCATCTGCTATTTCTAGGGCCACTACCTTAATTAGGTAGTAGAGCATCAGGCCCCGGGTACTTATCAGGTTTTAATCCAATCAATTCCCCCAATTCCATTTCTTGACTAATAAGGATTTCCTTCAGTTCCTCCTTCATGTTTGATGATCTGCCCCTAGCATTTCCTGAAGATTATTTGTGGCCTCCTTAGTGAAGACAGATCCAAAGTATTTGTTCAACTGGTCTGCCATCTCATTGTTATCCATTATGAATTCACCTGATTCTAACTGCAAGGGACCTACATTTGTCTTCACCGGTCTTTTTCTCTTCAAATATCTAAAGAAGCTTTTGCAGTCAGTTTTTATGTTTTTTGCAAGTTTACTTTCATACTCTATTTTTCCTTTCCAAATTAAACCCTCTGTTCTCCTCTGCTGCATTTTAACTTTCTTCCAGTCCTCGGGTTTGCTGCTTTTTCTGGCCAATTTGTATGTTTCCTCTTTGGATTTAATACTGTTCCTGATTTTCCTTGTAAGCCATGGTTGAGCCACCTTCCCTGTTTTACTCTTACACCAGAGAGGGACGTACAATTGTTGAAGTTCATCTATTCTTTAACTGTCTGCCATTGCCTTTCCACTGTCAAC